AACTTGAAAGTAAATAATAAAGTTGATAATGTCAGTAACTTCCTAACATAATTGAAAAGGGATAATTGCTGAATTAATGGAAAAATCTACGTTTGAGAGAGGAGGACACAATGTAGCTGGGATCAACTCAATGGCAGTAGACTTGACCTTGAGTTTTTGTTTTTTTTATAAATGAATTGGAAGCACTGCATTAGTAGAACAAAATGAAAATTATAACAAGTGTACTAAAATTACAATAATGACTACAACTCAAGTACTATTGCTTTGGATTTTAATATCCAGTAACAATATATGATAATTCTCTTTATGATGTTGTTGTGTGCCACCGAGTTAGCTCCAACTCATAGTGACCTTGTATAGGGTTTCCAAGAGTGATTGGTGGTTTTGAACTGCCAAACTTGTGCTTAGCTGCCCAGTTCTTATCCTACATTGTGACAACAGGGATAAACTGTTGCCTGTGGTATAATATTCATTATTATTTCTCACAATTTTTTAATGTAAATCTATTGATTTTTACTTTTTTTGAAAGACCTGAAGGAATTGACTCAGTATAAGAGAGCTGTGTAAATAAAGAGGGTAACTTACACACAAAAAAAGACAAATATGAGTAAGTGACTGATTTGAGAAATAAATGGAAATGTTCATGATGAGCCCCCCAAAAATGGCAATCGTGAATAAATAAACCACAGTGATAAGAATATATTTTAAACAGAAAATAGTCTTAGCTGTTTCCTAAGGGGAGGGTTTCCCCAAATTGAAGAAAGTTAAAACTAGAGTGACCTAGCCTTTCAGAAACCTCCTACAGGGAAACATAAATCCTCGGTACAGGGAAGGGCTGGGATAATTGCTATGGTTTGGTTCTTTCTACAATTGAGATCACTACAAGAAATCAACCTTTCCTCTCTGGGAGTAATGATGTTCTGACAGAGCAAACATACTCACAGGAGCAGCAGAGGCCCTGCTTCCCCACGCCAATCAGCATATTTAGGCAGAGATTGCAGTAGGCAGGTTTGTTAAAGTGCTTCAGTCGCCACACATGCTGCCCATCATCCTTCACATTCTGCACAGGACGTAAGAGAAACAGATTTCACTTAATGAAATAAACAGTGGAAGATGTAAATGCCAATAAAATAAAGCACTGGACTGAAGCATTTGAAGACAATCTGTTATCTCATCTCTGACTTTCTCTAAAATCGCCACCGAGTGTTTAGAAAACCCGTATGTGCCCTAGTGGAATAAGATACTGCTAACAAATCTAGGATGCTATAGCAATTCACACACATTCTTGTATAATGTCAACAACTCAACATCAGGCGACAAAACATCATAATGACCTGCCAAGCAGAATACTCCTTAAGAACAGGGATGTGTATGCCTCACCTTTGAACACTACTATCCTTAGCACAATTCCACCAACAAATACATAGAGAAAGAAAATACCCTTAAGTACAAGAGTTTAAGAAATTAAAAATGAAAGATTATGTTAACCCTTACTGTATTTGTTGTTGTTAACTGCTGTCAATTCAGTTCCCACACATAGTGGCCATGTATAGGGTTTCTGAGAAGCAGCTGGTGGGTTTGAACCAATAACCTTGTGGTTAATGCATTATAAAACCAAGGCCAAATTATGTGTTAATCTCCTCTGCCCAGATAGCCTTCCTAACCCCATCCCAGAGAGAAATGCTCTCCTCCAGTTAGTTCCCCATCAAGTTGGACCAGCTACACTCCAACCAATCTTCAATCTCAATTCAGTTCCCTAAGAGCCTATGGAATCATTCAAACCAACCAATTCCATTCTCCTGCAGGAATCAGGGGATCTTTGTCCTTTGGCTACTACACCTGACAGTGCCTTGTGGTTCATTTATTCCAAAATGCAATTTTCATGAGATCCTGCAAGCTATGCAACATCATTCTCCTTTCAGATTGTGAATCAGCTATTAATCTCATGTGTACATTGTAGGGTACCTGTGTTCAGCCATCTCGTATTATTTAGGGCATATCTCTCTTTCACCAGTGGATGAATAGGAGATGAATGAAAAACACATACTCAGTACTAGTATTTCAGGATGGTGGCTAGATCTTGGAAGGAGGTAGAAATATGGGATGCAGTGAAAAAGAGTAAATCGTCATAATAATTTATGGGCAATATTAAAGAGCTTCAGTTGAGGCTTTCTTATATGCTGCAGATGTATTTTATTTGTATGTATCTAAGAGTAAATTTTTTTAAAAGGTAGACATTTTAAAGGACATATTTCAATTATCATTTTGTTAATCCCTGTTTTATAAAATATAAATGGTATTAATCTCATAGAAATGTATATATATATATATATATATACACACACACACACACACCCTGGTGTGGTGCTGTAGGATAACCACTGGACGACTAATGGCAAGATTCAAAGTTGAAACCCACCAGTCATTCTTAGAAACATTATAGAACCGATTCAATGGCACACAACAACAACATATATAATTTAACATGTTAAAATTGTATTACTACAGTTATTTAGAGCAGTATAGCCTTGTGTTTAAGTTAATTTACTTATTCTTCTAGGTAAAGCTCTATGTAACATCATAACAGCATGTCTCTAATTTGTGTTAAAACTTACCTACATTCTTCAAGACTGAAAGTCAATGAAATATGATGCCTGTGCATCTCTCAAATAACAAGAACAAAGTTTGAAATGAAATCAGTCACTTTTGTTACCATCATGTTTTTCGTTACTTATATATCATTCACCAAACTATACCAAACCAAAAATAATTCCAAACATCACTTTAGAGTATTCAATGGTACTGTAGAACAAGTACTGAACTGCTAACCACAAGGCCAACAGCCCCAACCCACCAGCCATGCCTCAGGAGAAAGATGAGGCTTTTTGCCCTCTTGAGATTTACACACTTGGAAATGCTACACAGGGTCACTGTGAGTCGGAATCAACTCAATGACCATGGGTCTGCTTTGGTTTTGGTATGTATAGATGATTATTTTTCAGGTTGACTAAACAGTCACATTTTATAGAATTAATTCACCTAATAATGCTAGGGCATTATCATTAATTTTTTGGTATTGTGACAATGGGAATATGTCCAGATGCTCTTGTTTCTTTTGATAATGAAATATTAATAATTTTTGCTAACCACTTTTTCCTATATCTTGTCAAGAGAAAAATCACTGGATTTGCAATACTAGAGAAAATCTATATTAACTAGTTCTTACATTAGAAATAGAAATGTCAAATTTACTTCATAATATGAAAAATTAATGAAAATGCTTCAAGGGAAATAATTCTCTATGGGTCTCTTCAATTTCCCCATTTTTCAATGCAAAGCACTGTCTAATATTTTCTCCTAAAATATCTCTTTGAAATTATTTAAACAACAAATAGGCTTGAACAATGAAGATGGATCTCCCCCCAGAGCACAGGCAGGTTAACTCACTGTTGAGTATAATAAAAGGATCTCTGCCTTTCAGGCAAAGGGTAAGCAGGTTTATTTACTACAGGTAAAATATTTCGTTTCCTTAAGCTGGGAGTTTCAGCTGCCATGCAAGCTATTATTCTGTATGCATCATTTACCTAGGCATCTCCCATTGCCCCATGGAAATTGGAGGGCAAAGCATCTGATACAAGCATAAGCTGTTTGCTTTGCCACGAGTAATAAAGTCCTTTATCTCTGACCTAAGAGTCTCTTTTCTTCTTCTCCCAGAATCCATAACATTGTGGCAAACTAATTCATTTTCTAGCAAGTAAGAAAAGTCTTAGACACTTCACAATTCTTGAAAATGTTCATATTTTCTTTTGTGACACTAGGCTAACACGCTCTTAATGAAAGCAGTTATGTAGAAAGTATCACACAGAAATCTTCAGAAAACAAATATTTAACATTTCTTTCAAAAGTTTAGAAATAAACTTTGCAGTAATGTCTTCATCCAGTTTTGGCTTAGTTGACCCCTAAGTTTCTAGCATCGCTTGTGATGTTCCGTGGAGTCACTTCTGACTCATAGCAACCCTGTATAGGGTTTCCAAGGCTGTACATCTTTGTGGCATCAGAAAGCCTCATCTTTCTCCTAGAAAGCAGCTGGTGGGCTCAAACTGCTGACCTTATGGTTCACACTCCAGTGCTAATCCTACAGAAGCACGGCACTCCCAGTATCTCTATTAAATAAATGACTTTATATTTGTGTTTGTTGTTTTTATTGTCAGGTGCTGTTGAGTTGGTTCTCACTCACATCAACTCAATGCACAACAGAACAAAACCCTGCCCAATCCTGCAGCACTCTAAATTGTGACTATGCTTTAGTCCATTGTTGTTGCCACAGGGCTACATTTGTGCTTACTTTGCTATATTTCCCCCACTGTATGTACATTGTTGTTGTTAAATGCCCTCGAGTAAATTCTGACCCATAGAGACCCTTTATAGGGTTTCTGAGAAGCAGCTGGTGGGTTTGAACCA